AGCTAGTGGTAAAGGGTATAGACTATTATCAAAAATATTTATTCTATCATCCAGGCGAAATCATTTTCTTGAATGAGCTTTATATTATGTATAACTACATAAACTTTCTACCTAACACACGCGGAAAGTGTATTTTCTGGACTTAAAGGCTTGTCCGAACTCTGCTTTTTGTTGTCATTCGTGCAACTTCCATCACGTGCAGAAACACTTTCCTCACTTGTTAGGTTAACAACGATTTTGGATTGTGAGAAAAGGACCTCTTTTGTCATTTTATTTACGATTTAAGTTTTTCATCAAGCTATTGTTAAATGTACGTCATTACTTCTTGTAACTGTCCTTATTATCTTTAACTTAACTAGCATTACCTACCTATGTATGTATTTACATGAAAAAAAAACTGTTTCGCATAAATTGTAATTAATTCCATATTCTTTAATATTTTCTGTTTCAAACTTTAATAAATATCTAAATTTGTTATCTTAATTCTTAGTCAATTTTACCTTGAAGGCGCTTCAACACTACCGATTTTATGAGTTTCTTCTTTTTGGCACAATTATTTTATGCCAAAAAATGGTAGAAACTTTAAAGTGGTGGTGTTGAATCGCTAGAATCAAACAATGGTGCAAACGATCCACCGGAACGAATAAGATACCGAACGAACCCTAATTGCGTTTTGCATTCGCCAATAAATCCAGAATTACAAAAGCTTACCCCCCCAGTCACTAGAGGCGCTGAAAACTTATAGACAGGTTCTCAACACGGCACTTACCTTTCTAAGGGGGGATGTTTTGTGGTCTGGAATTTTAAACAGAAATTATAATTCCTGTATTCAGCAGACGCCCCTGTTGAGCTGCTATATCAACTATCCTTTTTCATCTGTATGATTTAGAAAAGAACGAACAGTGAACGGTTCAGTAAATAACTCAACAGTTCAGTTAAAAAAGAAAACGCATTTATTAACTTTTTCCCCGAAAAAACGTCTTGGACTGATGTATTACCATTTCTTAACATATATTCTTTCGGCGGACATAAGCAGGAAGTGGTGTAATAGCTATTTATGTACCAAGGGGATTATGTAGATTATAATGCCCGAAGGCGAAACTAGCCCGAGGGCCTATGGCCCGAGGGATATATTTCGCCTGAAGGGCATTATAATCTTAAAATCCCCGTGGTGCATACAATGCTTTATTTTCTACTCAACACAATGTTTTTTCATCAATTTATTATTAAAAAAATCAGTTAAACTTGTGTGACAGAATATTGTTTTGTATTTTGACATGTGCCTGTACCTGTGACCTGTACCTGTACCTACTACCTGTACATAGAAACGAAATAAATTAATATATCTATAAACATCTCATAAGGCAAGGCAACGGTGGTGGTCCTGCGGGTTAACGCGCTGGACTACATGGGTATCGTTGATGGTAGACCGGGTTCGAATCCTGGCTAGACCGAAAATTATTTTCGGTCAGACATTTAGTGGCTGCCTAGGGTAAAGTGCAAATTAATATAACAACAACAACAAAAACACCTTAAGGTATTATAAGCGGGCGTTATAGATCATAACGCCCGCAAAAGCGGGCGTTATGGATCAGGTTGTTATAGGTGTGTTAACGTATTTCGTTTCCTAGGTATTATGGATCTATAATAGTAAAGTAGAAAATAAAATGATTTTTGACTCCCTCACGAGACAACGCATTGACATTCGTCTTGCAGCCCGTTATCCCTCCACAGGACGTCTTGTATTAGTATCCAGTAGCTATTCTACATTCAAGCTTCAATGTAAATCAACAATGGAGTGGTGTAAAATGATTTTTCACTCCTCTCACAAATTGACAATTTCCATCCTATATTACAACCCCAAAACCCCCATGGAAACGTCTTGTATGTGTTAATCTAATTTTGTTTGTGTACAAATTAACTCAATAAATAAATGCAAGACGGTGTATAATTATATATTTTCCTTGTTTATGGCGACATTTTCTGAAACGTTTTTTTCAGCGAAATCCCCCACTCCCATATATTTCCCTGCACAAGTGCGTTTCAGTACCATGTTTTCTAACTGATGATAACAATGCAAGACGGTGTAAAATGATTTGATGAAATAGGCCTCGTATCCCGTACTATAAGTAAGTAAACATGCTCTATTGTCAAAGATTACACTAATCCTTATTGACAAAGCTAAGTCTTAGATAAATCACAATAAAAAAATAAGTGGATTCAAAAATGAAAATAAAGATTAAATATAAAAAAAATATAAAACACAAAGCTAAAAGCACAAACATCAGTTCAACATTCAATATCCAATGTAAAAATTCTACGTTATCTGAAAAATACAATTGGCTCAAATTAAATTAGAAAAACATGCATGTACATTGTACTTACTTAACAAATCAAAAATACAAATAATACATTCATTTCAAAAATTGTTAGCCATCAAATTTCATCTATTTATTCTAGTCAAAAATCTATCCAATTAATATCACATTGGTCATTGAGGTTTTAAATTTTAAAGATAAAAACAATGTAGTACCAGAAAAAACTCCTATATCTATAGTTGTGATAAGTCGGTACTATATTTTTGTTTTTAAGGAAAATAAATGCAGTACTTTTGTTGTTTTATTATATCAGTGTTTATTTTTGTGTTTAATTTTTGATTGGTTAACGGTTAACACTATGGGTTTGACTGTTTGACCTTCAAAAAAATTATAAACATAACAAAAATTTAATTTTTATTTCATACTATGTAGGTACCTAGGTAACTATATTGCGAGGTATAAGTATTAATTTAAATTCATTGATGAAAAAAAGTCTGGCATTTTTATAGAAAATCAGGTTTTTTTTATAATTGTCCCACTTTCACACTTCCAGCTGGCAACCCGATGTATGTGTCCTGATAATGATATAAGGTTTAGTTTAGTATAGACAGTTTGTCTCACTCTTATTTTTATTTAGATTAAAAACTTCAGTATGATTATGGAACCTATACTTACAGGGTGTACCATTTAAAAGAAAACAGGCTAAATATCTAATGCCACTTTTTTTTTTAAATCGCTCAAACACGTAATTTGATTTCCAAAGGGGAAGTTTCCTGCAATCCTTTTTAGCACTTCGACTTTAACCCTCTAGGTGGGACCAACCCTTACCATATCAAATGGAACAATGGGTCTAGTGGCATCTCTTTTAAAAGAGCGTTCAATTCTCATTCATTTGATGTCATTTGAAAAAAAAATTGAATACACTTTTAAAACAGGTATCACTCGACCCCCTGTTCCCTTTGAAGTGGCAGGGGTTGGACCCACCCCACCTAGAGGGTTAAGTTAGTGCTGAAAATATTTCAATTCAAATACTCACACAATCAAATTATGTGTACGACCGATTAAAAAAAAAATAAAAGTGACATCAGATATTTATCCTCTTTCATTTTAAATGATAGGTATACCCTGTATATTCGAGTATCAACCTCGGTACATACAGGGTGTCCCACGGTGGATGGCGTATTAGACGTTTATAGAGAACTAAAAAGTGGATCATTTTGAAAATTTGGCAACCGGGATAAACAACCATAATCTACACTTTAAAAATATTTTTGTTTATGCGGTGTTGCCGCTTCTACTCTAAACCAGTGGCAACATCGCTATTTTAAATGAAACACCCTGTATGTGATTACATATTTGGATTCTACCTAAAATTCTGAGCAGATTTTATGTGATATACCATTTACCTAAGTTCAACTGTTTTGGAAATATTGACAGTTGAAAATTGACTTTTTGCAACTTTGACAGGCTGTAAAACCTAAACAGTTAATTTCAGAGGAAAACCGATCTTACATTCCTATCTTAGATTTTCGTAAACTATCATTTGACACCAACTTTGAACTTAACCGGAGATTAAATTTAATTGGAATTTTTAATCATGGATTAGATCACGGTCATTTATCCCGGTTGCCAAATTTTCAAAATGATCCGCTTTTTAGTTCTCCATAAAAGTCTAATACGCCATCCACCGTGGGACACCCTGTATACATTATCAAAGCATAAGGATAGCTGAGTAAATTTATATAAAATTCCTTTTCAATTTTTTTTTTTTTTTTTAATTTATCATTGTTGTATTCATAGTTTTACTACTTTACAATTACACTGTTCACTATGTAATAATCCATGATTTTAGACTCATGAATATCCTGTTTTTAGTGCCCTGAGGATGGCCTAATTTAGGCCGAAATGTTGGCAAATACACACTATCTTCTTCAACGCCGTTTATTTTTGACCTAAATCCAACCTTTTTTCAAAAAAACCAACCTGAATATCTACCGAGGTCACTAACTATAACAAAATATACATTAACATTACAGATATAGGTGAAGATTATAATGTCAAGCTAAGTTATAACTAAATGGGCTTCTTGACCCATAATAAAGAAATGAATAAAAAGAAATGTCTTCCAATTTTTTTATTATGGAAAATTACTATTTTCCATAATGAAGTTTCTCCCGGCATTATATCACATTTAAAATTTATTTATAAACATTACATAGTAAACAAAACAGATAATAGGTCTAGGATTATCACACCATTATATAATGTATTTATAACTATTTTCATAGCCCCCCAAGAGATAGGAGAGGGAATTAGCAGGCAGGAGATTAATTAACCCATAATATTCATAAAAACATTGAAACCGCATGTTATTGCAATCAGCACGTTTTTTTTTTGTAGAACAAAAAATGGTTTACAACAAATGAAACGTAGTAAAACAAAAGGTTGTATTGTGGCACTTTTGATAAAAAGTTAATGTGACTCAGACATGTTGCTGTTTTCGTTAAATGTTAAAAATAAAACGCAAATATTTAAAAACGTTCCACCATTTCTAGAAATAAACCTAATCGTATTCAAGTGATTGGCTGAGTGTAGAAATAAACAAAAACAAACCCAGCTGGAAGGCAGTTTTGGACACGAAAACTAACACTTTTAAATGGAAATCCAAAGTGCGGTTCTTACCTATCGCCAAATAAAGAGTCAAACTAACAAGTTCAGGAGTACATGTAAAGAAATTTGGACAAATTATACAAAAAATCTGGATTTTTAGAGATATACGCACGCACGTACACACCGCTCGCCTCGCTACAGTACCGCCATTTAAAAACACCTTTATTTTGAAGTGGTTTTTTAGCTACGTTGTTTTGTAAGAGCGAGGTGAACGACCGTGTGTTATTGAAGCACGATAGAGAGGGAACATTTTTATGAGGCAATTGCGTAAAGATAAAATTCAAATCGCCGGTGGCGAAATCATGTGATCGGCTACGTGCCGAACCGATGGGAATCACGTGATAGCAGAGTAGTTGTTTGAATTGAAAGTTTTAAGTGTATTGCTGGATCTCTCTCTCTGTTGTATGCAGTTGAAAAAAGATGGAATGGAAGAAAAGTGTGCAAGTGGTCGATCAGTAGTTGTAATCCTTTCAAGAGTTTGAAACACTCGAGCTACTCGCTCCGGTGCTTAGTAGCCCCCGATTTGCAGGGAACAGATGCGGGGTGCAACAAACACTTTTCGAAAGGAATAAGTGCGTGAAGCCCCGGAGCTGTTCCGGAGCTCCTCCTAGGTGTGAAAGAAATACAACTATAGCCAGCATGTTCTTGTAATTATTATTTCGTTTTCTACTCGATAGATGGCGGCGTCAACGACCCAGTTTTGGAATAGAGATGTATTGGTTCATTTTACGAAGACTCGATCGATCGACCAATGCTCGATATATTTGGATGTTTGGAACCAGTCGGTCCGGTCGATCCATGATCCATCCATCGAACGATTCAGCACAAATTCCGGGTACGATTGGCTCTACTATCTGCCCTCAGTGCATTCTGCTGTTTTCATTTCTTGATTTGATGTTCGAATATTGAATCGAATCATACAATCGGTGTCATTGGTGTCATTCAAGCATTTGCTTCCCCATTTTATTTCATCTGCTTATCGAAACGATACTAGAAACTCGACGCCCCGATCGACGTATTCCGTAGCTGGGTTCGGCTATTCAGCGCGGAGTTGGAGTGGAGTGAACAGAGCTAATGGAGTCACCCCTAATGCGGTAAAAAGCAATACCCGAACCTTAACATGAACGGCTGGAATGCGAATGGAGTCACTCGGAGGGCACGGAGTGAGCAAGCCGAACCCACCTCGTATTCAACATTAGGCCAAGAAGTTCATCTTTTGTGCTGAGCTCAAGGTGTGTGTACTAAAGTGGATGAAAAAAGCAGTGATTGCTGTGTGTGTGGCAAAACCGCCCCAAGAACGGGTTCGGAACCACTTTGTATACGAATTTCGGATTCTACGCAAAAACTTTCAGTTTTGCGCAGAATCCTGACGGTGAAATATACGCCCTGCTGGATTGGAACAAAGCTACTGTAATTTCTTGAAAATAAAATGTTGTAATTATGCCATTCGGCTCCATCCAGGTTCTCATAAGCTGGGTTCGGCTATTCAGCGCGGAGTTGGAGTGGAGTGAACAGAGCTAATGGAGTCACTCCTAATACGGTAAAAAGCAATACCCGAACCTTAACCCGAACGGCTGGAGAGCGAATGGAGTCACTCGGAGTGCACGGAGTGAGCAAGCCGAACCCACCTATAGAAATCACAAACCATTGAGCGTTTTTGATTGATGCAAATTTCCCAAGGATAATAAATACTACTACTACAGGATACCTTATCCTCATAAGGCCTGTGTAGATCAAATCTCACGCCCCCCACCACCTTCCCAAAGAACCAGTGATGACGTGACAGCGTGTCGTTTCTCACCTTGACGTAAGGTGTTTGCATCATAGTTAAAGCACAGCATATACATGTGCGCCAAAAATTAAAGTTTTAGTGTAAAAAAATCTAAGAATAACTGTTCAAACCTCGTTATTCTACGATAAACCATCGCTGAGATATACCGCTTTAAAGTGTGGACGACGCTCTCGTGACGTCACGAGAACTTCGTCCAGCCGCGCTTCGCATTGTTAATTTGATTGTTCCCGGCACGAGTGAGTGGTTTTTGTTTAGATTATTGCAGGTAACACAGGAAAAACATATGTAAAGCCTGTTTTTTTTTAAAGATAATTCCCCATGTCAAAAATTTAGTAACTATGTGGCAACACAAGCCTTTTCTACATAAAAAATTTAAAAGCATTGACAATTTTACATTGTATTGCCAACATAATTTCAGTTTGACTTTTATCTTTAAAAAAAAAAACAGATTTTAAATTTAATTAACCTCCACTTTCTCGTGCGTCGCTTAGGGTGAGATGCGGTACCTTCATAGAGCCATATCTGCGGTATTATTTGTCATAGAGGGGTGCGAATTTCACTGTTATTCTTAGATTTTTTTTCTCTTTTTTTTGAGATGAAGTTGTTTTTTTGGCGCACACCCCCTTTAATGTCTGTTTTTTTTTTAAAAGATAAAAGTCATACTGACATTATGTTGGCAATACAATGTAAAATTGTCAATGCTTTCAAATTTTTTATGTAGAAAAGGCTTGTGTTGTCAACATAGTTACTAAATTTTTGACTTGGGGAATTATCTTCCGCACCTGTAGTTCTGTTTCACTCCAGCGTCCCCAAGCGGATGCGATCCGAAGCTTTTTTTTTAGGCCCCGCCCTCCATTAAGCTTTTTTTCTATCCGTGAGGATATGTGTTCTGTGACGTTTACGTTGTCAGTTGTGCGTCGCGCACTATCCTAACCTTAGACAAGGAAAGAGAGGGGACTCGTAACACAGCAGGTGAAAATGAAGCAGTTTGCCACCAAAAAATGTCTGCTTTTTTCATAACATAACCTAGAAAGCATATTGTTTTTTGCCTGTTAAATGTAATCCCGTAGACTTTTTTTTCTCTGCGGGTTTTGCAGCCATACGCTAGCAATCCACCATGCTGAATATCACAAAAATGTTAGTCTGAAGTAAAATTCACATAGTGGCACCATGAAAAATGGTCGCCATTATTTGGTGGCAAACGGTCACAACCAGCTGCTAGTGCAGGTAAAGGATGTTACGCGTCCTCTCTCTTTCCTTGTCTAAGATCCTAACAGACCGTACCTTTATGGAGATTTGCATTATGTTGAGGCACCCCAGATGACGTCATACAGTTATCAGGCAACCTACCTCTCTCAAATAACCTTGCGCTATGTAAATTCTGTTTATTTTTGGGCTATGTTCCGTTATCAACTGCCAGTACTGGATTTTAGTGCTGATTTTACTTTCTTTTGCCGTTCCGATTTCAACCGCGTACTGTTTTACTGGAAGAAGGGAGATTCTAAAATCACGATTCGTCACACAACTCGACAACGAGACGCAACTCGATACCGACCCTGACCCTGTTGTCTCGAAAGCTATAATTCCAACCAAGGATCGTCGGAAAAACTCGTCTCGTTTTCGAGTCGTGTGTCGAATCGTGATTCTAGAATCCCCTAATCCTCCAGTAAGTATTATTGACGTCACTGACGCATTCAAAACGTCATTCAGTATTGAATCAGTGTACTGAAAATAATATCGGAACGGCGTCCAATAAATTCATATTTCATATATATATATTTTTCCAATATTTTGGCGCCAAAATATTGGACCAATAGGAATACTCCCGGATCAACGGCCTGACGGGAAAAGGGATGCATGAAAAGTAAGCTAAGTCTTAACTGACGTTAAATGCATTGCTTATCTGTCAAGATGACCGACTGGTCAATCGCTTAAAATTGGCATTCTTTCCGATTCTTTCCAAAGAACACACAAATTGACACAAACCGACAACCGTGCGTTCGTTATTTTGATCTGAGTTCTCCGAGCTCAAATTCACCGTTCTTTTATTTAAAAACTATGCTCAGTGCAGGCTCAATCGCGTTCGTTTATTAAAAATTTCGAACGCTCTGAAGCATAATCATTAGCGATTATGTGATGTGTCAATTGTGTCATTACTCCCCTAACTCCCCTCTCCATCAAATTCTGGGCCTGCGAGTGACGTCACTATCAGCAGCTTATAGTGATGACGTCACTCGCAGACCTTGATGGAATGCTTGCTATTCAGGCTGCGCTAGTGAGTTAATTTTTTCGTCGATTTTAAATGTAGAAAAAAATGATTTTCGGTCTGCTCTCACAGAAGAAATTGAGTGTTCTTGATCCTCGAGTATCCCAGAATTTGATCGACGCGACAACTTCCCACTATGTGTGACGTCAGCCGTAGACCTCAACTCTTGGCGTATAATGCATTATCCGAATTTAAAACACTATAGCTCGAAAAAACGAATTTCTAAATGTTGGAATCACCTTTTCTACATTTAAAATCGACGAGAATGTTAACTCAAAAGCAGAGCGTGAGTCGCAAGCACTCCATCGAGGTGTGCGGGTGACGTCACCACTTTCAGTTGCCAATAGGGTTAACGTCATCCGCAGACCAGCTGCCGACTCGATAATTGGCGAACGTTAGTCTTGTTAGAATGAGCAATCCTATTTGGTGGAGTGTTATTGTTTATTTTCTACAATCAGCATATATTTGTAGGTATTCGTTTACGAAGGTTTGCAATTAGGACATAAAATTAAAAAAGGGTTTGTCATAAAGTCTGTTTTTTTATTAAAGATAAAACACCAAGTCAAAAATTTAGTTACGTTTGCAACACGCAAGGATAATACACACTACTACTACTACTACTACAGGATAGCCTTTCTTCATAAGCAGTGGCGTAGCGTGAGCTTTCGTCGCCTGGGGCCGACCGGAAATTCGCCGCCCCCTCTATTTCATATATTAGTCAAGAAAAGTAGTAAAAGTCAAATAGCAACTTTATATTAGGAAATTTTCATATTTCTCAAATAATTTTTTTTCAAATACTTCTAGTGATCAGATATTACATACCTAGTTTTCTTTTTTTTCCATTTTAATTCACTTACGCGTAGTTCTACGAAAAAAAAAATTATAGAAATTAAAATTTAAATTAAGAACTTTCCGCACCAAAGTTTTAGATTTGAATTTGAATTTCAATAATTTTTTTTTTCATAGAACGCGTAAGTAACTTAAAATGGAAAAAAAGAAAACTATGTAATATCTGATCACTAGAAGTATTTGAAAAAAAATGAATTGAGAAAATATGAAAATTCCCCAATACACCGTAGAAAAAAAGGAGTGAAAATCAACTCAAAATTTAATCAATTTGGTGCGAGGTTTCAAATGGCAGCGCTCGTGACGTCAAGATTTCGTAAACAACAAACGCAGCAAACGAACTCCTGCTCACGCAGTGCTATTTTTGTGTGTTAAAATTTGCTTTTTGTGAAAATTGTCGCAATGGATGAAAAATATTGTAAAGGATTGCTTTTGAAAATTTTATACCAACTGCCAGTTCCCTATTAACAGGTTTGTTTACAGATTCGTGACGTCAAAAAAGGTAGCCATCCAATGACATCTTAGCCAGCATAGAAACATTGTTTTGGCGGGAAATTTTTCATTTCAAGTATAGTATTATTTTTTGTGTAACAAGGCGCGGTATTAGTTAAATAAAAACTTGTCATATAAAATATTATGCAGTATAAATATAAACTATCGATTTGAAACAAATTTGGAAAATTTTATTCCACTTGCAAGTTCCTAGAGTTTTTAGATTTTTGAGAATTTTGCCGCCCCTTCTTGTATGCCGCCCGGGGCCATGGCCCCCTCGGCCCCCCCATCACTACGCCACTGTTCATAAGGCCCATTGAGATAAGGCCTATGAACTCGAAAGTTATTCTAGGAAAAAGTTAACCTGCGCTCTCACGGTAAGTTAGCGTATTTGACCTCAAAATTTTCTCTTATTTTCTGTCTGATTTTTTTTAAAAAGTTTTTGGCTTGAATTTTGATAGTGTGAAGAGATGGAGGACCTTCAGTGATGACGATCGACTTGATCGAGATGTTCTAGAATTTCTAGAACATGCATGAGCGCCCTCTACACGTAAGGTTGCGGTCAAATCCCTTTAACGATTTAAGCCCGGGACACATCTATCATGCATTCTTCCGATCCGACTCCGATCATACAATCAGGGTCCTTATTCTTGGAACAGGGAAAAGCGTTCCCAAGGAGAACGAGTGTTCCGCTGCTCCCCTGTTCCAAGAATAAGGACCTTGATTGTATGCTCGGAGTCGGATCGGAAGAACGCATGATAGATGTGTCCCTGGCTTTAGACGACGTCGACTTCTTCGCATGTTTTCGCTTGCGAAAAGAATCAATTTTATTTGTTCTAGAACAAATGTCAAACAGCTGGAGTGCGTTTTAGAAATGGAGTGTGAAGGTAGAGTACAGGTCCCGCAAAATACGGTGGCGAAAAAGCAATTTGCGCAGTAGACGAAATTCGGAAATGGTAGGGTCGTAAACTGAACTGTAAACCCTACCCTCGGTTAACGGATGGGGAACAGTGGCGTGTAGGTACAATATGATAATTTATTTATAATGTCAATATCGTGAGACCAATTAGCGACGCCCCTGATAATGGAAAAGGTTTGCATTTTAGCGTTGCCTGTGCCAAGAAAAGGGACCCACCGCTACGCCTACCTGCGCCAGCTCTCGCCACCTTATGTTGCGGGGCCTGTAGTTGTTTGTCAGAGTCTTCTGACGACATCACTTGGAGGGCACTCTGGGTGCGCGCGCACTCTAGGCACGTCAACTCTCGATTTCTGAACGATTCCAGCGTAACGCTCCGAGTAAGCACCTGTTAATTTGTGAACGGCTTAGAGTTACTCTAGGGTCACTCTCACACCCAGGGAGCTTTTTCTAAACGCAACCCTGATTTGTTTCGTTTTGCAAAACAACAGTCAACCGTGACTTTACAACGTTCCAGTTTACAATTTTTTTTCACATTTGTCTTTGGTCTTTCGTCTACTATAAATTTACTCCAATTCCTCTACAGTAATGGATAATATGATGTTTTTACCTCTGTTTAACTTTGTCAAAGAAATTTTTCCAACATGTTTAATAGATTTTAAAATCAGATCAATTATTTTACTCGATGATTTTACCAATTCCCGCATGCACACGGCACTCATAAACGATTTTTAATTTTTTTTTCAACAACAACCACATGAACCACAACGTGACAACACAACAAGCTTGACAGTTTCCAGATTTCACTTCTGCGCATGCTTACTCTAAAAAATTCTCTTTCCGAGGTGGAACTTTTGGACTGAACTCCATTTACTCCACTCCGTATAGTAAAACGCTGATGGAGTCACCACTAATACGCCAAAAAGCAATACCTGAACGGCTGGAGTGCGAATGGAGTCACTCGGAGTGAGCAAGCCAAACCCACCTTTTGAAACAAGTTATAGTTCCAAAACACTCTTTAGAGCACGTTCGGAATTATTGTATCATAATTTTTAAGTAAAATAGTTCATTTGTAAAATCATTGCGAGTAGAGTTCATTTGAGTTATCCGAAAATGATTATGATTAATTAATTGTCTATTACATTATCAGGAAAACTGCTTGTATTTTTTGAAACTGAAATTCATTTAAAAAAATCCAGAAATAGTGAAATTCACGCGGAACGGCGCAAAAGTTAGAGTCATTTGAATTACACAAGTTCTACAAATCGAAAACGCTACTGTTTCTAAACTCACCGAAATTCACGTGAAAAACGTCAAAATTCCAAGTGACCAGGTGAGGTGATGTCGGTGATGACTTCTTTTGAGTTTTGGTCGATAAATAAAAACAAAAATATTTCAACAGTTTTATTCAAATAAATAAGATAAGAATCCAAAAACAATGTACTTTTAAGCAATAACAAGAGGTATTTACCACAATCATTCCTATTCACGGCAACAGGTATGGGTAATTCAGGCCTGAGACAGCATATCGAAACAGCCCAGAAAACTGGAGTCCTAAAAGTTTCGCCAGGGAAGCTGAACCAGTTTCCGCCTGGTTTCAAACAGCTCGAAGGATGCCTGCGAACGTTGGATCTTTCGGACAACAAGTTCGTAGTATTGCCCCCCGAAATCAGTCGTTTTATGCAGCTGAGACACTTAAATTTAAGCAAGAACAAATTAAACAAATTACCAGATTCGATTGGTGCCCTAACGAAATTGGAAACTTTTAATTCTAGTGATAATAATTTAACATGTCTACCCAGAACGTTTTCGAATTTAATTCATTTGAAGCAGGTAATTTTAAGCGGTAATCAAATTAAAGAATTCCCAAATGTTTTTGGGGGTTTGAAACATCTAGACGTTCTTGATTTATCAAACAATGCAATCGAAACCATTCCAAGTGACGTATCAACATTGTACATTATTGAATTAAATTTGAATCAAAATGAAATATCACATGTTTCTTCAGAGATAGCCAATTGTGCCCGACTGAAGACATTGAGATTAGAGGAGAATTGTTTAACTTTAAACGCTATACCTCCGAAATTATTGTTGGAAAGTAAAATTTCTAATTTAACTCTAGAAGGGAATTTATTTGAAATGAAAGAGTTAGCTCATATTGAAGGATATGATGCTTATATGGAACGATTTACAGCTGTTAAGAAAAAATTATTTTAGATAATTAAGCTTTAATGTGTGTAAAAGAGTTAAGTGTAACCTATTGAAAATTCGGTTCTTTACAGACCAAAAATACAAAAATATTTATGGATAATTGTATGATGTTTAAATGTTTGAATATGGGTGTTAGATAATTATGACTAATGTATCAAAAATTAGTTCCTTATATTTTGCAGTTTTTGTCTGATACATTTTATTCTAAGCTTCCCAGTGTCCATACATCTATACTATGATTTTTTAATCGACCATTAGATTTAAGTATATTTATCTTATCTAAGTCCTAAGAGTACCTCCTCACTATTATTATTAATAAGAAAGGCATTTCAACACCAATAACAAATTTTTCTTATGATACATATTTTAAAGTAACATATAACATACAATGTGGCTTTTGTGTGTATGTATGTGCAAGCAGAAATATCAATAATATGCACTAAAAAAGAATTTTAAAAGTATGTTTCTTCAATACCTAATTATAATGTGCTTAGTTTAGATTTAGGCTTCAAATATTTCTGAGCTTTACAAATAACGTGTCAATTTATAAACAACTGATGTTTCACTTGATAAAAAGTGAAACACAGATATTCTATACTCATGTGGTTCAATCTGCGCTTTAATAAAGGCTGTAAATCCTTCCTTTGTATATTATGATGTCCACAATTTACAAAGAAATCTATATATTTTTGTCATTGGAAATTTATTGCTATTTTCTGAGGTTGTTGCATGAACTATTTACAAGCTTTATATGGCCTTTCAACTTTGCAAAATCTGTTTTTGTCAAAATAGCATATTTATCTGGAGAATTACATATTATTGTAACAATCAATTTACAATTTTATAGAATTAAGAGAAAGCAGATTTTTATGAATTTGTATTGTTTTTGAGTTTACACATATCCAAATCAAATTATACTTCTATTATACACAGGTTTTGTTAAAAGTAGTATTTTGTTATATACCTATTTTTTTTTATCTAGATTTAAGAATTCAGTCAACAGTTTTGTATTTATATCTTTATTTTTTTTTTGTTAATAAAAATATGTTATGTGAATTTTTGTCTATTACACTTCTGAGTCATCTAATTAAGAATATTGCAACCCAATTCAGAATTCTATATGTTGAGAATGCTTTGTAGACATTTTGTAAGTACAAATTGAATTGGGTTTTCACAGCTGTTATTACTTCAAATTTTTATCTCGGATTAAAAATTACTGTCCGAATCGGAAACAAGTAGGTACAGACATACGGCTGTCCCAGGCTGCTCCTTGACTTCATAGAAAGTATGGCGCGATTAACTTCATCATCATTATTGTCATCTGCTAGACAAAATTCTCTCTTGAACTTTGTCATATTTCAATCCCGAGAAACGAATTTCCACTTTAACGCGAGGCTCTCAACCTAGTTTCTCCAACATTGAGAGTTGTATCAGGTTAAATCGGACCTACGTCCTGATAATCTTCCAACAAGTGATAACATTTTGGATAATGTTCGACAATTTTTAATGTCACCACAAATATGAGATTAGGAAAGTTTTTTGTTTTCAGGTGGAAACAAGCACAAATGACGCAATGTTTGCCTTTTTGAAGGACCTTTATTTAAGCCGTTGAGCGTTCGATTGTGTGAATCATGATATATTACCGGTTTAGAGGTGTTGCTTTGAAATGGTGAGATAAACTCAACATTAGAATAGTAGTCGCTCAGAAAATCACAGAGGCCGTGAATCCGAGAAGGACGAGGCTATGAGTCAGAAACACGGGCAGCATCAGAAAAAAGTGGATTTGGCAATACAACGTGCAAAGCAGCGTAAGGAAGAACAAGAGAAACGGTTTAGTGAAGAAAGTAGGCAAAGAGCTCAAAAGAAACTTCAGCAATTGAAGGAAAATTACCTACGTGAAAAGCGCGATCGTGACCGAGAGACTTAAATCGGTACTGTCAGTTCTACGGCTGTACCGCCAAAACCCATAAATTACGTTGAAATTCGTTTGCCTGAATTCCAAAAAAACAAGGAAAGGGAACAGAGTACCCGTGGATCACAACACGAAGTTACCTACTCCCCCGAAAGAAGATACTAATACTTCAGGATTCAGATAAATGACACAAATTGAAAAAAAAAGCTTTTCTAGGAAACCTCAACAGAAATTTGAAAGGGACCATCATGGACAGAATGGTCATAGTTTCTCCAAACATTTCTAAAATGATTTGCCTCCCAGATTCTTGAAAAACCAACAAAGGAATACTGGAACTGGAAGCAGTAAAAATCCATCCAAATCTAACTCTCCCATTATGAACCCAACAATAGATCGTCCTCCAACGCACCACGTGCTCCTAGTCGAGGTGGTGCTAGGCCAGAAAACCCTGAATAAAGATCACAGAGAATATACCTACCAGGCAAAGTTCAAATGATGGTTATCGCAGCTCCCATCAAAAAGCACCCAAAACCCTTCTGAATGAAGAATCATATTCTTCCAATAAAAGGGATTAAGATCAATGGCACAAAGTACCTACCATGTTATAATAAACCAGAAGTTCACGACAGACATTATCAGGATAGAAGATCGCAGGAAAAAAGTTTTGGAAGGCCAGATAGTCGGCGATTCTCACACCTCTGATTCCTCACACACATCTTATGGGTCTCAAAGTAGCAATTAACAGACGTTCCAGAGATATTGAAGAATCTATGGACTCATGGAATGAAGCTGTAGAAGCTGCATATAAGAAGGAAAAGGAAAAAGAAAGATTGAAAGATGAAAACTGTGTCAGCATTATTAGTACCTGGGCCAATTACCAGGGACCGAATTGAAGCTGATGATTTTGATGAAAAAAGAAATTTGACTCAATGAAAGAAACGTGAAATGCCACCGCCGAAAAAAGTTGAATTGTCCAAGAAAGGCGTTTAAAGCGGGTTCTAATGAAAAATTTGCTCCAGCTGAAAGTGTGACTCCAGCTGAAGAAGATGAAAATAAAAAAGGAGCAGAAACCAAACTAGGGGAACCTAAAAAACCCCAGCAGCAACATGATGACGACAAAGATAGACGGAACAAGAACAATAAGAGCTTCTCGCAAAGTAAAAGCTGGGGAAGCAGTGGTTCTTCATCAGATTTTCATTCAAGAGGTCCATCGTGGGATAACAATCAACCTCATTCCCCATCTAGAGGCCACAAATTTGAAGGTATAGAGACTTTTATAGTCATGGAACTGATAGTGATGGTTCGACATCTACTTATCCTTATATAAAGAAATAAATAAATTGGAGTTAATATTCAAGTAATAGAAGCAAAACACTTCACATATAAGCTCGTGAGTTTTGTTGGGTTTTCTGAGCCTTTAAATAGCTCCATCATCGTCCCGACAGTCAGACACCTGATGCAGCACATGTAATAACATTATGCCACCCAAAATAGCCACATCGAATTTGATTGGTCAGGTTCTGGGGTATGGCTAGATTGGGTGGCAGAATGTTTCGATGCAGACGGTATACAGGGTGTCGCAAAAAGATACCGACAAACTTTAAGGGGTAGTAGGGGACATCAAAACAAGCATTTTTGTTTATATAAACATATATGTCCACAAATGAGCCATTTGAGCTGTAGAGCAAAAAAACTGTTTGATACTTTTATTCTTCGCAATAATTAAATCACTGTTTACTTATTAATTTTGCTTTATTACCAAATAAATTATGATTTACAATAATTGTTCAAAATGTTGACCATTTACTCCAATGCAAAGATTACACCGTCGGGTCATTGACTGAAAAGTTTAGTCTACGAAACACCTGTTCGTAATGAGGAAGATCTGATAGCAAGGATACTGGCGAGTTGTACCCATGTAGAAGCTATTCCCGGAATATTCCGAAGAGTTCGCGAGTTGAACAATTATTGTAGACCATAATTTATTTGTTATTAAAGCAAAATTTATAAGTAAACAGTGATTTAATTATTGCGAAGAATAAAACTAGATACCAAACAGTTTTTTTGCTCTACAGCCCAAATGGCTCATTTGCGGACATATGTTTATATAAACAAAAATGCTTGTTTTGATGTCCCCTACTACCCCTTAAAGTTTGTCGGTATCTTTTTGGGACACCCTGTATATTGATGTGGATCTAATAGTAGGGTGACCAAACTATGAATCAAATTTCAAGAACGGTCAAGACTAGTGATGTGTGAAGAATTTTGATGGGGCGTATACTTGTAAAGACCCTAATACATGGGCGAAGTTAGGCCATCAAATCTGGGGGGCTACAGCCCCAGGCCCATAGGAGGAGGGGGAGGCCCGCCACAAGCGCCGCCGGAGTCAAGAAAATTTTTGGGATGCCACGCCCAAAAACGTTAATTTCGACCCATAAAATGAACGATTTTGGGCGTTCTGAGCCTTCAAAACTAACATCAGAATTGGCTCACATTAGGCATTAACACTGAGACTGAACCGAAAATGTTTAAATGCACATACCTATAGATTAGTTAAAGTATGATAATTGAAAAAAAAAAAAATAGAAAATAGGTGTTAGTATGTTTGGTTTTTTGTATTTTCTATTATGTGTGTGTGATGAAGTGCGAAAAAAAGCTCCCCCCTAACTTCGCCCATGCCCTAATAATAGCTCTCTTAATAAAACCCAATAATCTAAAACCCCTGCCAATTACCACTTCAAAATGCTTGGTGAATAGAACATCAACCTAGTATCTAAGATAGGCTAATGATAGAAACTTCAGACAAGCGAACATTATTTAAGCAATCATGAAAGAAAACCTTACTGGTGAATCTAATGAATCCTGATCCTGATTCATTGATGTATAAGTTGAATAAATGAGTGCCCAAGTGAGAGCCTTGGGGTACCCCAGATGATGCATGGAAAAGAGGAGAAAGATAGCCATCGATCTTGACTTGTTGCATTCTGTTAAGGTAAGATTTCATCCATAGAAGTGGAGCTTCGAAAACTCCATTACTTGAGAGTTTTAAAAGAAGGATGTAGTTGATTACTTTACCTCAGCAAAGGCTTTATTGAAGTCAGTACCTATATATTGCACGAGTTCGAGAGTTTGTGCATTGTTATCAAATGACGAATTTATAAAATTTGTAAAGAGAAACAGGTTCACAGGTTCGTGTCAACAGATCTACCGACTGTAAAACCGTGATGTTGACTGATCACAACCTGATGGAATGAATTTGAAAGAATTTTTTCAACACTCTGCTTAAATAATTTAGGAGTTACAGAGAGGATGCTGATAGGTCTGTACCTATTTTGTTACGTCATTTTTGCTGACCTGAATAGGACAAACATAAGAGAGCTACTTCCACATTTCTGGAACAATTCCAGAAGTTAAGGATTTGTTAAGGATATTAAATAGAGGAAGATAGAGATACGAAAGTGGTAGAACAAGATTTTAATACTCTGTTAGGAATACTATGTCCACTTGCGTTAAAGCCTTCTCAATATCGGTTGGGTCTATGACAATGCTGGCAACATTTTCAAATCAATCAGCAAAAGTTCTGGAGTTGGAATTTCTGTGAGGGTTATAAACGATAGACAGAGGAAAAATAAACACCAAAAATAATAGCTATGTCAACACCGTTGGACATCTTTTCTGTGGCCAGAAACATTTCCTTAGGAAAAGTAGGTATCCTGACTGTATTGAAAATGAATAAAGTTCCAAAAAATTTTAGCATTATGCCTATGGCTCTTTCAGTATCACTTATGTATAACTTGTAGCACTCTTTGGTGAAGTTTTTACAATCCCTCCAAAGTGTGTTAAATGCATAGTAATCCACTCCACTATTCGACTGTTTGTATTGTTTGTGAGCAATTTTCTTTTGAAAAATCAGATTTTTCAATTCGTAAGAAAACCAGATAGGAAATTTATCGTTGTAACCGTTTCTAGGAACAACATATTTAAACTATACCCAGTAAAACTTATTAACGGTTCCGTTTAGATCCTCCGTCATGAGGGATCACCAATCAAAGGAAAGAGATTATTCATTAATTAGATAGAAATTGCCATTTTTAAAGTCATAGGAAAAATAATTAAGAGACTTCAGAAATTTAGCCTTATCAACAAATGGGAAACTCTCAAGACAGGAACTAGATAGGGTAGGGGGTGTTATGCTGTTAGGGTTATAGCAAATGAAATAGACCCAGACGCTTCAAAACTAGCAAACTTTTCTCTTGCGCTAATGGAATTGCTTTTTGGGGTTGTTGCAGCCAATTTCATTCTTCAATTCTGTAGTTTACTTGAGTATTAAGATTCAATTAAGTTCTTTATCCAATTAATTAGGAAATGTGTACATCCAATAACAGGTTTGTTAAATATTTTAGATAGAACAAGTAGGCACATTTGGTTGCTTTCAAAAAATTAACCTCTAGCTATATGTAGATAGCATCCAAATCCATTTTTTGCACCTTCATTCAAATTAGTGATAACACTAAGTGGAACTTATATCTACATTTATCATTACAAAAATATAAGTGCCTACTTAAGATTTGACTAAATAAAAAAAACAGTTTTTAAAGAATTTTTATTATAAAAATAGAGTGTTTCTGGTCCAATGATCTTCAACTTTTTTTAGGCTTTTTTGACGTAAGAACAATTTCGTAACCTCTTTCCATTAACACACTGTTAAATAAAAAATCCTAAGTAAATTTTATATTACATTTTAATTTCAGATTCAACAAATAGGTACATAAATATAGTAACTTTGAAAGTTGGCAATAAACTTATATTTAAACCTTACTCAAAAAAAAAAAATGTAATTCACAAACATGAAGATCCATTCTATATTCAACAAGTTCTTGATACTTTTTGGAAAATGATTAACAATTCATTTAAACTATAAGAGATGATGTATACATTAAATGAAGCTGGATTGTTTTGATTTGAAATTTTTGAGACTTGTAATTTAAATAATTTCAAGTTTTTTTCATGAAAATGGCTGTAGTTCATTGAAAAAGCCTTATCCGGAGCTCGGATTTTCGAATCCATCCGAATGCCTTTCGTATGCGAAATAATGCGAATTTCCTTTTATCTCATATACAAACGGCATTCGATTGAATTCGAAAATCCGAGCCCTGGCCCCAATTAACCTAATTTTAAGTGAAGGAATGGAAAGTTTACCCTGTTATTGATGATGAATCCATTTAATTCTTATATGTAAAATTTATTCTTGCAAAAAAAAAAAAAAACACAGAGAAGTGAGGATGTTTTCTGATATTTACCCAATACCAAAATCCCTGACTTTCAACCAAAAATAATTCACATAATCTTAAATCAATAATATTCGATTACACAAGATTTACAAGCTTTAACTTTCGATTTTTTTGTCAGATGGAAGACAAAATTCCCAGTCCTTTAAAACCAAACTTGATGTCATTTAAATGCACTTAAATATACATTTTTTATTAAATAAAATATGTGTGTAGTTTTATTATCTTACTGGCACGCCTAATTAAAATTTTCTACTTAAGCCTTAACTAGTCAATGACAATGTTCCGTGACGTCGACCACGACCGATTTTTTCCACCCAAACAAAAAGTATCCGGTTCCGGCACCTAAAACTACTGCTATGCACAGCCACACGTTGTACGTCATAAATATTAACATTAGGAAGTAGCTGAGGACCATCTGGATCATGTGCAAAAAGGTTTGGAAGAAGTGGATTTTGCTTATCATTCTAGGTCTGAAAACGAGACAAGAGTTTTAAAATTTGAACTACTATAAAAGTAGAAATCAAGCTGACTAAATATTGCTATGAGAAACTTGTTCTGCTTTAAAAAAAGGACTAGAATAGTGTTTTACACAAATTAGAAGACATCAATGACAATCACAAAGCAAGTTAGAGCAATCTACAATAACTCTGTAACAGAAAACTTACGGTTGCTTATGAATCACTTCTCCAACAACGCTAAGAAATGAATCAAAATGTTAATATGATGCTTCTTGAAAATATTTGTGCCTTACTAAGATGTTTTTAATATTTTCTCAGTTATTTGAAATTTGAATTCAAAGATAAAAATCTACTTACTGTACTACTTGTGGATCTTCTGGAGCTGGTGCTTTGTCCGGCAATGAAACTGCCCTATACTGCAATGCATTGTACGTTTTCCAAAATAAATATTCCCTGGAAGAAAATTTCATATTACCTACTTACAAAGCAAACATATAATTTACCTATAATATTTCAACCCTTCATAGAGCGCAGCCATAATGAAAATTCCTATCATCGAACCAATAAGCCCTCCGACAGTTGTAAAGTGCCAGTTTTCAAAAAGCACCGTAGCGTCTGTTGAAAATTGAAACTAAAAATTACAAAAGAAATTGAATTTTTATTTAATAACTTAGATATGACTACATACCCACATATTCATAGCCATATCATGACCAGCGTGACCAGACGTGTCGTGTCCAGTGTGACCGGACATATCATGTCCAGCGTGGCCCGACATATCGCCGTGCATACTGTGGTCAACGGGTCCCATTGTTGTTGTTGGCATATTATGGCCTTGATGGTCCATGGCATGATGCATCTGGTGATCCATATTTAGTATGTGGTATTACTGGAAGAAATGTACAATTCTTGGAAATTTATAATTTATTCAACAACGTTATTTAAAGTAAATTTAAAGGTACCTAGTGACAAGCGTTAACATGCAAATGTATAGGAGAAAGTAACTCTGGGCTGCATAATATGAACGTGAAATTAAAACATCAATTCGCCAACAGTGTAAAGTTTGCAAATGAAAAAACCTTCTAGACAACAAACATAAATACCATGTAAATTTCATGAAATAAAACTTACCAAGAAATAAGGAATTTCCTAATGTGGTTTTTAATTTAACATTGAGAAAAATATATCCAAGAAACAAAACATAGCTCCATATGTATTAACATATTTAAGATAATTTTGAACAAACAAAATTATAGATTGTACCTAATGACCACAAGTCAAAACTTGTTATTTATTTACTGATACATTGTGGTTGCCAAATTTGTATTACCCACAAACTATTTTTGTCCAAAAAGGAAAAAGTGCACCATAAAGAATATCGCGTCAAGATTAAATTAATTCTTGTAAAATCCCTACAGCTGAGAAGCCTGAATATGAAAGTTTAAATTCATGGGGTCTACTGAAGGTCACAAATATTGAAGCAAATTGGGGGTCAATAATTCTTTTATAACATCTGGCATTGAAAATATTTAATTGAAGCTTTATCAAAATCAGAAGCTAATAATAACAATTATAAAATATACAATTATCAAATACCTAGTATATTTCTGATTCATCATTTTCTGAACTCTTATCTCGTGCTAATTGCAAATGAATGTCCATTATAGTCTAAAGCGAAACAATAGAATAAAGTGGGCGTTTGGGTGATAAGCCAATTTCAAAGGCCAATTATTACTAATTTCGATAAATCGCTTTGACCAGCTTAATTGGAATAATACAATTGGATTAATCATTTTTGAGTTATGCCAGGGTTCCAACAAGATAATGGTAAATGCATTTGTAAAGGTTTTAACATTATCAAGGTGACTCATGGAGAATGACTGTTTAACAAAGAAATACATATCTTGTATTGGGAAGACTCAAGAGGTTTTCTATAGTTTAAATTGAATATTTTTTGACCTGATCAACCTTGCAAAAAATCAAAGTTTTACTTATTTTCAATCAAACTACCTGGGAAATGTACAAGTCAATGAACTCTAATAATAAAAAGACAATAAAGCAATAATAATATTGGTTTCTAGCAAATGATAATAGTAATAAAAATAATAAAATCTATTCAGCGTAGGTAATTTTAAATGGGTTTGTGTTTTAAGAATGTAACAACCTAAATTGGAGCAAATAGTCATAAAGATCCATTCAGAGATGTATTTTTGCCGATATTTTTGGTTCAAATTGCTACTAAAACTCGAGAATAGTCTGAATTTGTTCCAAATAAGTCTCTTGTGGTTTTTTCTATTGAAAGATTAAAGGAAAATGCCCTAAGTGGCTACAACAACAAAATTTGCAGTTAATTTATGGAACAAGTCTTTAATGTGATAAAGTTTTCGTTTAACATAAAACCTAAGCAAATAGTCAGACTATTTGTTCAAATTTGCATCTAAAACCAGAAAATCTAGCAGAAAATGGCATACATTTGGACTAAAAGGTATTTCCCTTTGACTTTTTCTTATAAAATTTCATGAGAAACTGTCCAAAATGTGTGTAAAATTACATTTCAACAACATTTTCAGCCATGTTTTACTTCATTTCAAATTTTAATTAAAATCTTTCCAACATAGTCTTGAATGAGATAAGTTTGAAGACAAAGCTCCCAGAAGAAATCGTGGATGCAAATAAATAGTGCAACTTGAGAGTCAAACACCCTTCTAAATTTAGCATAGAAACTTCCTCTATGATTTCATTGAACAACTTTAATAATAATCCTCATACTTCCTTGGGTTTCTATAAACTGCAACTGCATCAAAACTTCCCGAGACTTTTTGAATATCATGAATATCGAAAAATTCAAGGTTTATCGCCTGTTTTGAAATTCAAATATTAAGAAAAGTACCTGAAAACGCCATAAAGCTGTTCACATTGGGTATAAGCGTACTATAATAGTACGGGCTGATCGATAAGTGCCTAAATAAGTACCAATACCAAGTTCAAGGTTTAAGTCATCTGTCTATCTGTTATGTTAAGTCACGTGTGGTTGGGTTGAGACTTCGTATTTGGAGCGAATATCTTATGAAATCTAATGTTATAAGGCCCGGTTTATCAACCTTCTAATAAACATTTGGTAACGTAATCTGACGCATAAACAATCAATTTGAGATGCAATTTATGATCCTATTGATCAGCCAGATATAGTTTGGTATACCTATTTGTAGACAGTTACCGGCAAGTTTATCAAAAGATGAATAAACCGCGCATTAATATATTCATCATTCATTATTGTTTAATATATTGTTGTGACATCATGACCTTGATCAGGATAAGCTCAAATTTTCCAGATTAATTTAATTATTCATAATGGAAAAACAACAGATGTGCTTTGTGTGGTAAAAAAAGAATCACAACATAATAATTTTTATTAGATGCCTTGACCTAAGTTTCATAATGTATAGTTAGAGAAAAATACAATATGCTAACTATTGGTTTTTGATAAGGGATGGTCGAAGGGATTGATTCCATATTATGTAATTTTAGAAGAAATTTCTTCTTATCTATTAAATAATTTGTGAATAATTTGTTATAAAAAAGCATATTATTACTTATATTTTTACTATTAATTGGGTTGGCTTCAAGGTTGCCTTTACAAAATGTATGTAGGGTGTTTTTAATGAAGATGTTTACAGGATTAAGTAGGCATTTTGAAAGAAAATAGTATGTCTCTTGGCTAAATTATGAAATGCCTAATAAAAGTTAATTAGGTATATTAAAACAAAAGGAAGAAACATTAGGGAAAAAATCAAAAACACAACGAAGAAATATGCAAAATAAAATACAGGTTGTTCCATGGTGGAGGGCCTATTAAACATTTACAAGGAAGTGGAAAAGATACATTTCTCAAATTTGGTATGGCCTTAAATAAATCTAACAATTAATAACAGATTACTATTACAAAATATCTACCTATAATGTGAAATCAACCCTACAACTTGGAACAGAACAGGTTCGAAAATTTTGAAAACATTCTGAATATGGCAGTAGAGTAGAGAAATACATTCCGTTCAAGTCCATAAGAGCACATCAGCAGAAACGGATTCCTTGCAAAACGATCCACTACAACAAACCTGATAATGGTCAGCCAACAGATATAATATCTTGATTATGAAAAAGCCTTCGATAAAGTTCCTCATAATCTATTGCTGGGAAGATTGGAGCTGAGGAATAAACCCCTAGTGGAAGTGGATATCATTGTACATTTTTTTGGGAATCATATTAGGAGTCCCTGGGAATAACCTAGGAATCCATTGGCAATCGCTAAGAATCATGTGGTAATCGCTGGGAATATCATCTCATTCTAACCTAGAAATCGCATATCATACATTTTAAACGATATAGCGAACTGGTCAGTTGTGTATTTGCCTTTAACAATAAGTTTTAAAGGCAACATTAGCTCTGTTCCAACCGACATGAGAACCCTTCTAGAACGGTAATTTCCAGTCGATCAATTCATTTGTCAAGTAGGATAAACATATGTATGTACAACTTATTGAAAAATAGGTGGGCAACTGGAAATTACTGGTTCTGGAATGATTCTCATGTCGGTTGGAACAGAGCTATTGAGTGCTAAACAATTTGGAATGAATTTGATATTCCAATGAGTTTCCCAATAACTGAACCCGAGACTGCGAAGAATTTAGAGCTTGAAAAAGAAGAAGAACAAGATGAAGATTGAGTCTGTTCTCACAGAAATCACAAACTAGTGAGAGCGTTTTTGATTGGTGCAAATCGCCAACAACCAGTTTTCTGACTATTTTCAACTAATGAAATTCACTCTGACTGGTTTGTGATTTCTGTGAGAATTGGCCTAAAGTATGACAATGTTGTAGAGTATAAAAATGAAAACATCAATCTTGAAACATCTCTCGTATTCGACTTGCCAAAAGAAGACACTTAATTTCTTGACACATCAAGGATTAGCAATGGTGATTCGCTACAATTTAGAGATTATTCAGGGATCAACTTTAATTTGATTCTTTTCAGAGAAGCAGGGACATTTGTCGATCGAGTATTAGGAACTATGGGAATATCCCTGAGGAAGACACAAAAGAAAAAATAAGTTTGTCGAGTGAAACTCTAACTGAAGATGTCTCTGATTCAAATGAACATCCCGAGGAACATCCTAGTCAAATCAAAGAAATATCCATTTTTTTAGATCCATATTATACGCAATGGTATCTAGGGCTCAACAACTATTCATACCTACAACAAAATTGGTATCGATATGGATAACTATTAAAATAACAGTTGCTAAATTTCGGAAGAGTTGCAAATACAGATGTTGCCAATTTTTCAGTGGAAACGTGTTTTTATAAGAGAAAAGACGGAGAAAAGGTCATATCAATGCGAAGCTTAATAATAGACATTACTTTCGTAATCAGCTGGAAATCGGATGATTGTAGGAAATCATCGAGGAAATCAGGTTATCAATTAGGAATGATATAGGAGGAACCCCCAGAAAAAATTGAAATCATTTGATCATACAAAAATATCTGAAAATCATTCGCAATCAGTTGCAGTTCTTGGGATGGGAATACATGAGATTCATTGATCAGTGATTGCCAAATATGGAAATCATTGTACATTTGTAAGCATAGTGGTTGACCCCTCAGTTGGAGCATTTTGGAGTATGTAGATTGCTGCTAGAATTGATAACCAATTTGTTATATGAAACGTAGTATCAGGTACGAGTCATGGTACATAGTCGGATAAACATTGAGTTAGTAATAGTATTGTTCAGGGGTCTGTAGTAGGACCATTGCTTTTCACATCATACCTTTTTGATCTTGTCAATCTCATAGAAACATCAATGAAGAACTTTGC